CAAATCTCCAGTTTTCTTAAGAGGATTCCATGTACGGACTATTTGCTGTAATATCTTCCCACTTCACACCCGTTGGCAACAACGTTGGTCTACTATGCCGGCAAACAAACTTCAGTCTTTTAACCGAGTATAGGTTACTGGCCGTCTTCTTATCACCAGTGTCGAGGTTGGGAGACTACTCTCTCCCGTCTTCGCATTGGCCATACTCGTCTTACTCAGGGATATCTCATGGAGAGGCGTCTTGCTCCTCTCTGTGAGAATTGCCAAGCTCCATTATCAGCAGCCACTTCTGTTGGACTGCCCACTTTATCAACGAGCACGCAGAATTTCCCTCTGTCGTCGTCTTCGCCCGCTGCTCTCTCTTTACCTTCCCTTCTCGCTGATGGACCCACCTTTCATCCGGACTCTCTTATTGACTTTTTGACAACGACTGACTTACTTCACAAATTCTGATACTTTCAGCCCTTTCTACTTGTATCTCTTGCTACCCTCTACCCCCGTACTATCCCCTGCCCCGCTGTTTTCTGTAACCTGCTGATCATCCCCCTCCCTCCTGCCATCCAATTCCCTTGCTTCCTTCCCTACCCTGCAGCGCTGTATAGCCCTTGTGGCTTAGCGCTTCTTTTTGATTATAATAATAATAATAATTTACAAAGTAGAAGTGATGCAAGGAGGGAAGAGTATATGGAGAAAAAGAGAGAGGTTAAGAGAGTGGTGAAGCAATGTAAAAGAGAGCAAATGAGAGAGTGGGTGAGATGTTATCAAAAATTTTGTTGAAAATAAGAAAAATTTTTGGGAGTGAGATTAACAAGTTAAGGAAGCCTAGAGAAAAAATGGATTTGTCAGTTAAAAATAGGAGAGGAGAGTTATTAAATGGAGAGTAAGAGGTTTTGGGGAAGATGGAGGAATATTTCGAGGAATTGTTAAACGTTGATGAAGATAGGAAGCTGTGATTTCGTGTATAGGGCAAGGAGGAATAACATCTTGTGGGTGGGGAGGAAGAGCCAGTTGTGAGTGTGGAGGAAATTCGTGAGGCAGTAGGTAAAATGAAAGGGGGTAAGGGAGCCGGGATTGATGGGAAAAAAGAAGAAATGTTAAAAGCAGGGGGATATAGTTTTGGAGTGTTTGGTGCAATTATTTAATAAATGTATGGAAGAAGGTAAGGTACCTAGGGATTGGCAGAGAGCATGCATAGTTCCTTTGTATAAAGGCAAAGGGGACAAAAAAAGAGTGCAAAAATTATAGGGGAATAAGTCTGTTGAGTATACCTGGTAAAGTTTTATGGTAGAGTTATTATTGAAAGAATTAAGAGTAAGATGGAGAATAGGATAGCAGATGAACAAGGAGGCTTTAGGAAAGGTAGGGGTGTGTGGACCAGGTGTTTACAGTGAAACACATAAGTGAACAGTATTTAGATAAGGCTAAGAGGTCTTTGTGGCATTTATGGATTTGGAAAAGGCGTATGACAGGGTGGATAGGGGGGCAATGTGGCAGATGTTGCAGGTGTATGGTGTAGGAGGTAGGTTACTGAAAGCAGTGAAGAGTTTTTACGAGGATAGTGAGGCTCAAGTTAGAGTATGTAGGAAAGAGGGAAATTATTTCCCAGTAAAAGTAGGCCTCAGACAAGGATGTGTGATGTCACCGTGGTTGTTTAATATATTTATAGATGGGGTTGTAAGAGAAGTAAATGCGAGGGTATTGGCAAGAGGCGTGGAGTTAAAAGATAAAGAATCACACACAAAGTGGGAGTTGTCACAGTTGCTCTTTGCTGATGACACTGTGCTTTTGGGGAGATTCTGAAGAGAAGTTGCAGAGATTGGTGGATGAATTTTGTAGGGTATGCAAAAGAAGAAAATTAAAAGTGAATACAGGAAAGAGTAAGGTTATGAGGATAAAAAAAAGATTAGGTGATGAAAGATTGGATATCAGATTGGAGGGAGAGAGTATGGAGGAGGTGAATGTATTCAGATATTTGGGAGTGGACGTGTCAGCGGATGGGTCTATGAAAGATGAGGTAAATCATAGAATTGATGAGGGGAAAAGGGTGAGTGGTGCACTTAGGAGTCTGTGGAGACAAAGAACTTTGTCCTTGGAGGCAAAGAGGGGAATGTATGAGAGTATAGTTTTACCAATGCTCTTATATGGGTGTGAAGCATGGGTGATGAATGTTGCAGCGAGGAGAAGGCTGGAGGCAGTGGAGATGTCGTGTCTGAGGGCAATGTGTGGTGTGAATATAATGCAGAGAATTCGTAGTTTGGAAGTTAGGAGGAGGTGCGGGATTACCAAAACTGTTGTCCAGAGGGCAGAGGAAGGGCTGTTGAGGTGGTTCGGACATGTAGAGAGAATGGAGCGAGACAGAATGACTTCAAGAGTGTATCAGTCTGTAGTGGAAGGAAGTCGGGGTAGGGGTCGGCCTAGGAAGGGTTGGAGGGAGGGGGTAAAGGAGGTTTTGTGTGCGAGGGGCTTGGACTTCCAGCAGGCATGCGTGAGCGTGTTTGATAGGAGTGAATGGAGACAAATGGTTTTTAATAGTTGACGTGCTGTTGGAGTGTGAGCAAAGTAACATTTATGAAGGGGTTCAGGGAAACCGGCAGGCCGGACTTGAGTCCTGGAGATTGGAAGTACAGTGCCTGCACTCTGAAGGAGAGGTGTTAATGTTGCAGTTTAAAAACTGTAGTGTAAAGCACCCTTCTGGCAAGAAAGTGATGGAGTGAATGATGGTGAAAGTTTTTCTTTTTCGGGCCACCCTGCCTTGGTGGGAATCGGCCAGTGTGATAATAAAAAAAAAATAATATGTAGGTTACAGTGAAATTCATTTCAAAGAGTTTTCAATCTTAGCAAGTGTTTTGAGCAAATTTTTTAAAATATTCTTTGGCTGGTTTTTGTTTTGATATCTAAATTGTAAAGCATTGGATGAGAGGCACCACTTGCCTGCACACTGGTCTGAAGTTTATGAACCATTAGTGAGCAATAATATAACAAGCATTGTGAAGTAAGCCAGTGAGAGCACAGTGGTTGCATTACCTTAAAAATGTCCCTAATGATGAACAAAGGTTCTAATCAAGGACTGGTTTAGGTCGTTGTGCAAGAAAGGTATACAATAGCAACAAGATGAAAGTTAAGACACATGTGCAACATCTGGTTATCTTTATTGTTGATGTTTTCGCCATCCAGTGGCTTTATCAATACGGATTCTAGGACATAATTAGAAGACAGTAGAACTATATACAAAAGATGAGGTAATCAGTCCTCGGCCTTGGAGTTGGTGTTGAGAGCACCACAGTGCTGACAATTGTTTCTCACTTATCCACACCAACAACAGTCTCTCCACATCTTCGAGTATTTGCGATCTGTTTTGTAAGCACACATGCTCCTTTTGCAACAACAGCTTCCTTGATTGCCTTTTTGTTGCACAAGATGGTAGTGATGGTTGAATGGGGTTTGTTGTATAACTTTTCCAACTCCGAGATACGCACTCCACTCTCGTACCTTTCTATTATCTCCTTTTTTTAATTCGATAGTACACCTCACCCTTTTTACCACAGAAGCTTTCTTTGGGCCCATGGTGGCTTATTTAACAGTTACAATGGAATGATACAAAATATATCACATGTACGTGTGGAACCGTCCTCAGTGACTTGTAAACAGTGGCACACTGGCTGGTACACGGGGTGAGTGGCCAGG